CCCCCAGAGCCTAGGGCTGCCCCACCCCATTCCCACTCGGGGCCACTCAGGCGACCTTGGCCTCTGAAGCCTGCCCCCCGCTGTGGCCTTGGCTTCATTTTGCCTTGGAGGAGAGAGGCAGGGTTGGCGAGGGTTCTGCTGCGGGGTAGGGGCTTGGGTCCCACGCCGTCCTCACCTCCGGAAAGGACCACCCCACTGCATAAGGAACCACAGGCCAACATCTTGAAGGGTCCCCATGTGCATAAACAATTGTCACCCCAAAGCTTTGTCAAATGGTTTTATTCGCACCTCCTCAATCCCGTAGCCCCAGTCCCAGTAGTGGGGCCGGGAATTGGAACATCGGGAGGAAGACCCCCGTGGAGTGGGACCCTGAGGTGCAGCCTGGGACCCAGCAGAAAATGGAGTCCAAAGGGTGAAGGGCTAAGGCTCACACCTCCTGTCCCCACTCTGGAGAGGGCGCAGTCGGGTGTCTCAGAGCTTGGCCCGGTTGCCTTCGGGGGAAAGCTGGGGTTCTCAATTACCTCTTGGCCTGTGGAGCTGCAGACCCCGCAGGCCAAGCCCCTTTCAGCCGGCCGGAGCATCGGGGCTATTCCTGATCCATAGCAGGTGCATCAGCCAAGGTCCACCTCTGCAAACCCAGCTCGTGTGGAAGACGTGCGGTGGAGCCGCGGAGGGAGCACAGGGGCCCAGGCACGTGGGTGCTGTGTTCACGCAGGGGACAAGGCGCAGGGTTCTGATGCTGGGTGGGTGGGCGCCTGGGCCCTGGCGAGGCAGAGGCAGGCGGGAGTTACGGGTGCGGCAAGGCCCGTAAGGCGGACACAGTACGCGTGCTGGAGCTGACGCTCCTGCTTCCGAAAGGGACGTGCAGCATCGCTACGGAGAACTAAGGCAGCCAAGCCCCACGCACAAGCGCAGACGCCCCACCGCCGTCCCAGTTCCTCGCAGAGGCACACGCAGCCGATGCCGCGTTACCTTCTTCGCCCCACGGATGGACACGCAAGGGCGCAGAGGACAGAGCGCTTTACCAGTGCAGAGAAAACGGGAACGCGGCCTGGGCTCAACCCTGACTCCACCCGCCCAAGGAGCACGGCCACCCCTAGGGCCCAGGCTGCGCCTTGTTCACCCACCCACTCGGGGACTGCACGCCCTGCTCCCCACCCCACTCGGGCGGGCTGCCCTCCCTCTCCACCTGCGTGCCACCGAGGACCCCCCAACGCTCCGCAGCCCTTAAGTTTATCCTCCTCTTCCCAAAAGCTTCCTGGGACCCTGGCAAGGTCAGGCGCCTGACTGATCCCGGCCCCAGCCCAAGCTCCGCGCCGAGACTGTCGGGATCCGCGAACCCCAGGGGCTAGAGGACAGGCCGGGGAGGGGAGCGGGCTGGGGCGAGGTAGGAACCGAGGGGCGGGGCCCGCGGGCCGAGCCAGACTCGCAGACGCCGGAGGGACGCCAGGTGAGCCGCCCGGGAGGTGGGGAGGGGGCCCGGGCGCCGGGCCGGGAGGGTTGCGGGAGAGGCGGGCCGTGGCGGGGGTCGGCCGCGAGCGCAGACGCCTGGCGGCCGGGAGGGGTCCCTGGCTGCGCTCCTTCCCGCGTGGCAGCCCAGCGGGCCCGCACCGCTGCCTGCCATCAACCTGCTGGGAAAGAATCACAGATGGGGAGGGGTGGAGGTAACGCCCGTCTCCACAGCCTCCAGTGCCGGGAGGGAGCGGAGTCCCGGAGGTCACCCGGTACCAGAAGCCTTCTCTCAGAGGGGTCCTGGCTTCGTGCACCGCCTGGGCGAGGGCGGAAGGGGGCCGTGGGCGGAGGGAGCAGAGAGACGCGCGGGCAGAGATGGACAGAGCAGAGACCCCAAAGAGAAGTGGCCGCAGTTCCAAGAGGGAAGGGGCCCGCGGCCCGCAACCTCCCCACTGTGGCGCCTAGGGAAGTGGGGCTGGGGCTTCTGCACCCCAACATCTCAGAGGCCTCCCTGGCGGAGGGGCGGGGGTTCGTTCCATAAAACAATAGCGGATGGGCCAGTGGGGGAAGGGGCTGTGGAGATAGCTTCGTGGAGACGAAACGCGCGGTTCTCCAGGAACGGAATTAGTGGGTTTTGAAGCTCACATTTTGGTTAAACAGAAAGTTAAAAGGGAAAAAAGAGAGCGGGTACGATTTGGAGCAAAAAGAGACAACCTGTATGTGGCGGCAAATAAATTCGCACCCAACATAACCACCTGGTGCTTCTCCGAGCCTTTTAACATTTCAGAACAAAGTTTACAAACAGAAAACAGGGCTCAGAGCGGCCATGGGCACCCCAGTGGCAAGAGGCACTACTCCAGCTGGTTCTCCACTGACTGTGCAAACAACGCGGGGGGGGGAGGGGCAGTGAGCTGAAGGCAGCTAGCTGTCCACCCCAACTCAGAACCCACCCCCCAGCCAGCAGCTGCAGGAGCGGGGCCTGGGCCTGGGTCACTGCAGCCCACCTGGGCGGGAGGGCCACCCTTTCCTCTCAGGCCACCCCGGGGAAGCTGGGAGAGGTTCCTCTTCCCAGCAGCCCTCAGCCTGGGCAGGCAAGCTCAGCTCGGTAGGCACCCCAACGAGCCTCATCCCCTGGAATCTGCTCTGAGAGAGAGTCGGTGAAAGTACTGCAACTTTAGGGACACCACAGTGTCAGTACCCCTCCCCTCTTCCAGCCTCAGGTGACACTGACTTGGGAGAGCCCCCCTCCCGCACTGGTCACTCCGGCTCCCCCTCTGCCTGCTCACCTGCCAGGGCTAGGCTCCCCAGCCCCACCCCATCCTCCCTCCACGCCCGAGGGGTCTGCAGGGTTACCCTCCCCGCAGAGAGGCCATGGATGTGGGCAGACGCCAGCAGAAGACCAGATCCGGGTGAGGCCAGGCAGTGAGTTGGTGCTATTCCACACCACACCCGCACACCGGAGGCCTGGGGGCGGCTGCGCTGGGGGCTCCTGAGGGTCTGCCCCAAGCCACCGAAGGCGGCTCCCTTGGTCTTGGGCTTGTGGTGGAGAAATTGAGGCCAGCGGAAGAAGGGGCGCCCCCAGGTCAGTGGCTAAGTAGGACCCCCATCCCAGGCTCAAGGGGCTGGCTCTGTGACCAGAAAGCCCTTTGCAGTCCGGGGCAGGCTGAACTTGAACTCTCACTAAGGCAGAGGTCGAGGTGCGGCAGGAGGGAAAGGGCTGGCTGTTCCTCTCGCGCGTCCGCGTTGGAGCCAGCGCGTCCGAGGTGCGCCCGCGATCGATGCCACTGGAGCTCCCGGCGCCCGCCAGAGCGAGGGTGGGCTACATGGCGCGACCCCCCCTCGAGACGCCAGAGCAGGGCGGATAATCAGAGCGGAGAGCCGACTGGGGCCCCTGCGCCCTGCCAGCCGAGCCCCGTGCGGAATCCATTTCCTCTCCGTCACCACTTTCGGTCGCAGGCGCTCCAGCCTCCCTGAGTCTCCCGGAACGGCCTCTCTGCCGCCCCTCTGAACGCGCTCCGCATTGCAATAGCGAGAGTTTGCTGCCCTTGGCTGGACAAAGCAGGCGCCCCCTCCCCTCCCCTGCCCTCCGCAGGTCTTCCTTCCCGCAAGTGACTCCCAGGCTGGAGCGGGCTGCCGGCGTGGGGCTCCGGGGCGGACACGTCCGCCTCCGCTGAGAGGCGCGCCACGCGGACGGCCAACAGTGGACGCAAACGGCCGCATTGCACAGCTATCCGCAAAGAGACCCGCGGTGACGGTGCGGGCACGGAGAGCAAGCGACCCAGAGCGGTGATCAGCCCGGGGCAGCTCCCGGCTCAGCCCTTCAAGGACTAGGAAAGGTGTCGGGGACTCAAAAGCGACGGCAGCCCAGCGCCAGGGACAGGAGCAGCCGCAGACTGACCAAAAGCCCTTGGAAACTCACTGACTACCCCACCCCAAGTTCCTCCTCCGGTTCACACATCCTGCCCCATGCAGGGGACAGTCTTGGGTGGCCGCTCGCTCCCCACCACCACTACCATGGGATGCCAAGAAGGCTGGGGGCCCAAGCGCGTGGCCTGGGGGCTGTGGGACTGGGATCCCCCAACCTGGGGAAGGGGGACTCCAGGAAGGCCAGTTCCCGGCAGGGAGGTCACCACCAGGGAAAGCGCTTTCTCCCGGGACTTCACCCCAGGCCCAGGTGACTGAGGAGGGAGATGAGGGACCCCCAGGGGAGGCAGCGGGAGCCCACTGTCCTCCGGTGGGGCTGATGCTGCCACCAGCACTTGCCCTCTCAGAAGACCCCAAGTGACCAGCTTCGGGCTCAAAGAAAAATTACCCAGCCGGAGGTCAGCGGAGTCCCAGAGCCCACCGATGGCGCCCACCGATGGCCTTCCCTGGCCACGGCGACCTGCACCGCGTCCAGCTGGGCCTGCGCTGCAGGTGGAAGAGCCAGGAAGGCTCCCGCCTTCTGCCCGCCTGCACCAGGCCATCCCAGGCTCCTGCAGTCCCCAGAGGCACCGGCTGCTGCCTGCTACAGGAGAAGGGGTCCTGCCCCAGTGACCACAAAGCAACGAAACCATCCAGAAAATGTCCCTTTTTATTCCATACGCAAATAAGTAGATTCATTAAAAAAAAATTCTTTGTAGGGAAACCCCAAGACCGGGTGAAGGCGCTACGGTCAGGCCCCTCCTCAGAGCCACCGCTCATGCCACAGGCAAGAGCCGAGCGCCACAGCCCCCGTCCCGCCGTCCAAGTCCCCGCAGTCCCTGGCCAGGGCTTCTCCATGAGGCCGGCACCCGCGACACCTGGGCCAACCTGTTCCCAGCATTGCTCCCCTCCAGTCCGGTCTGCGCCAGGTCCCCGGGGTACTCCAAGGGCCAGGGCAGCCTGGCCTAGGCCCTGTGCCTGCTGCTGTGGGGCTCCCCGTTTCTGAGCGGGAACTCAGCCTTGCCCCGTCGCAAGGCCCGGTACATTCCGGAAGTGCACAGGAGGCCGCGGGCGCAGCCCCTCGTAGGTCCCTACCCTGCGCGCCGGCCCCCGCCGCCAAGCATTGCACTGCCTCCGCCAGGCTCTCACACCAGCCCGGGCATCTGCGCCCGCAGGAAGGGCACGGAGGCGGCAGCCGTGGGGAAGGCGGCCAGAGGGTACGCAAGAGCGCCAGAGAAGCCAAGCAGCGGCGGGGGCGGCGCGGGCGCAGCGGGCGCCAGCGAGAAGGGCAGCGTGGTGGGAGCCCCGGCGGCCGCGCCGGCGGCCGGGGGGCTCTCGTGGTACAGCACCGGGACTCGGACGAGGCGCTGCGCGCCAGGTGGGGACAGACTGGCCGCCTCCAGCTCGGCGGCCAGCTGCCGCTTCCACTTGTTCCGGCGGTTCTGGAACCAGATTTTGACCTGCGTCTCGGTGAGCTGCAGCGACGCAGCCAGGCCGGCGCGCTCGGCGCTGCTCAGGTAGCGCTTCAGGTCGAACGTGGACTCAAGCTGGAAGACCTGGCTGCGAGAGAAGACCGTGCGCGTCTTCTTCTTGCGGCCACCACCTGCGCTGCGGGCCTCCCCCGCCGCCGCCGCCGCCGCCGCCGCGGGGGTCTCGGCCAGCTCTGCCGCCTCCTCTGCTCTGGCCGCCTCCGGGCCCCGCACGGCCAGCTCCACCGCCTCGCGCTGCGCTGCGGCCGGCCCAGGCCCACGCGGCCAGGCGCCCTCGGCCCGGCCCAGCTCCTCGCTGGTCTCCGGGGAATCCCGATCGCTGGCTGCAGGGGAGAAAGGAGGTACACGGGTTGGTTCCAGGGGGTCCCCACCCCCCGAGCAGGGCAGGCACAGCCACAAGCAGTGGAGCAGCCTCCGTGCACAAGGGCCAAAGAGCTGCACCCAACGACGCGCACGCCACGAAGGCGCGCGCAAGGCACTCACATGTGCATCCGCCACGCAGGAACAAAAAGGAAAGGAAGAGAACGCGGTAAGACGAAACCGCCAAAGCAGGGACCCTTCCAAACACCTCCTCCTGCGGCCACAGCACCCAGAGACAGGGAGCCCTGGGTTAGAAGGGGAGCGACCCTCGAGCAGGAGACCCCAGGCAAAGCCACTCTCGGTAAGAACACCCTGGAATCCCTGCTACCCCCTGCCAGCTGCCGATGCAAAACAAACCCGCTTCCAGAGAAATATTCTTCCTGACCAGGACAAATGCAATCGGGCGCACCTGAGGGAGACTTCCACTCCCCAGATTCAGCTGCCTACCAGGCAGCCTGCTGTGGCCACTCGTGCCCAAAAGGAGGAGGCACCGACGCCGCTGCCCACACCCTCCTCGTCGTGCGTGGGCCCACAGCCCCAGAGGATCCCCAAGCTTCAGCTCCAAGGACAGAACTCGGCTTCCACTGGGGGGTGTGAGGAGGTGCCATGAGCTTGCAGGGGTTGGCCGGGGACCCAGGACGCTGGCCGGGATGGAAACTGCCCACAGGGATTCCTACTCCCCCACCCACCGAGCCACGCAGAGGACACCCCCACCCCACCAGGTAGGAGGTCTGGGTGTGGCTTGGCCTGACTTCCAAGCAGCAGGGCCATGCCCACAGCCACAGCTGTGCCAGCGCTGCCGTGGAGGCGGCTTTGTGTGCGCACTCCACTCTGAGGCTGGTGTGAGCTGGCTGCCCCGGCTGCCCCGGCTGCGCCCCCGCCCCCACCCTGTGCTGCCCACAGAGGTGCAGGCCTCCCACTCAGCCCACACCCCTCCCAAGGGCTCCACATAGTTGCTGTGTGGCTCAGGCGTCCCCAACCCGCTTTGTACGAAACGTGAGGCAGGGTTCTGCTGCACAGGGCAGGAGTGGTCACAATGCACTGGCCAGCACTCATCTGTCCCAGTTGACATGAACCAGGGGGTGGGCATGTGGGTTCTTTGGGCTGGGGAGATACCCGTCTCTCAGGGGCAGGGGGTAGTCACAGCGGAGCCCAGCAGCACAAGTCCGGAAGCGGGCCTCTCATGCCCCGTGGCAGGGCCGGGGGCTGGCAAGGCCAGGCTGGAGAGGTGTGGGAAGGGTTGTGGGTACCAGGAGAGGCAGTGGACCAACCCTGAGCCCTCATCCCAGGTCCTGAGTTGTCCCGGGGAAACAAAGGCAGGAGAAGGTGTTCGGAGGGCCCCGGAGGGAGACACAGCTGTCCACCAGGCCACTCGCCACCACCCCCACACCGGGCACCCTCTGCCCAGCGCCCCTTTCTAGGGACACCCGGGCCCCTCCCTCCCTCCCCATTTCCTCCCCTCAGGCTCTCCGTTTTGGCGTCTTCCCTCCCGGCTCTTTCTCCTCCCCGGGTTCTCCCCTCCTGCCTCGCCACCCCCCATCCCCGTTCCTCTCCTTCCTCCCCTTTGTCCAGCGCCGCCTGCCTCCCACCCGCGCCTCCCCGGACTCGCAGGGCCTGGGGAAGCCTGCTCTGGGGCCTGGGGTCCCGCCGAGTGGGGCCTCTCCGCGCGCGCCAGAAACCCACGCCGCGCAGAAGCAGGAGGGCGGCCCAGCAAGCGGGTGTTGCACCCCAAGTCAGCAGGCGGCCGCGGGGGTGCAGGGAGCGCCAGGCCCCCGCAGCCGCCGCCCCCTCCCCCGGCCCGCACTCACCGTCAGGGCTCAGTCCGCCTCCGTAGCCGCCGGGCGCCCGCGGGTACCAGCGGCTCGCGCCTCCGCAGCCCAGCGCGTAGGGCGGCCCGGGCCCGGGGGGCGGCCGCGGGCCGAGGCCCAGGGCGCCCGGGCCGAGCAGCGCCCGGGCCCGCGCCTCCCCGCCAGGCCCGGGGCCCGCGCGCGGCTGTCGGCGGCGCTGCAGCCGTCGCCGGCGCGCCTGCTCGGGGTCCCCGTCTGCCGGCTCGTCGCCGTCGTCCTCCTCGTCCTCGCGGCCGCCGGCGCTCTGGGCCGTGCGCCCGGCGCCCTTGGTGGCCTCGGCGGCCAGCAGGTTCTCGATGAGGAAGGAGGAGGCGCGGGCCGGCGTGGCGCGCCCGGGCTCCGTCAGCTCGTCCGGCATCGCGGCGCTCCTCGGGGTCCCGGGCGCCCCGGGGCGCGGGCCGGGCGGAGCGCTGCGGCTGTCGGGGGTGGCGCCCCGGGCGCTGGCGTCGGGCCCCGCGCCGGGCTGGGCTGCGCCGGGAGCGAGTGCGCGCCCACCGCCGCTCCCGCAGCCGGCCCGCTCGCCTTTCACGTCGCCCGGCTCGGGTGGCCGCGGGGCCGGCCTCGCCGGGGGCGGGGCGGGGAGGGGCCTGCGGGGCGGGGCGGGAGGCTGACGGCGCGGCGGGGCCCGGAGCGCGGCGGGGCCCGGAGCGGCCGGCCGGCCTCGAGCGCGCAGGCGGCGGCGCGGCCCGGGACGGCGGCGGGGGAATCGCGCCCCGCGCCGGCTGCCGTCCGGGGCCGCGCCGCCCGCGCCGGGAGGGCGGGGCCTGGGCCGGGCTGCCGCGCATTGGCTGCGGGACGGCGGGGCGGCTCGGGCTGGCCAGTCACCGTCCGGCAGGGCTCGCAATTGCCCCGGCGCGGGGATGGCCGGCGCGGGCGCGCGCGTGGCGTGCGCGCAGCCCAGGGCCCGCGGGGGGCTGCGGGGCGCCGCGTGGTTGGGCGCGGAGGGGAGTGCGCGTTCAGGGTCAAGTGCAGTGCGAGGGAATGCTGGTTCCCAGGCCAGGCCTTGCGAGTCACCGCACAGGGCTCTCCCGCCGATCACGCAGACTGCGAGGGTCCCTGAGGACCCCTTCCCCGCGGAGCGCTCCGCCTCTTCGCCTGGAAGAGGGCGGGGGCGCGGGCACAGAGCGAGTCCCTGAGCCTCCAAGTGGTCACTGCGTCCCCCTGCCCGAGCGGGTACAGCCGGGCTGCAGGGCCCCACGCCCGCGCTCGGGGGCCGCGGAGCGCTACCTTCACGGCCCCTGGACGGAGGGAGGACTCGACCCAGCACCCGTGCCAGCGAAGGGAGACCCCGTGCAAGCCCGCAAGCCTCGTCTTGGAGCAACCCCCTTTTGGATGGAGGCAAAAACTGCTGTGAGAAGGCCCCGGCAGACCCTGTGGCCAGCAGCCCGGCAGCCGTCTCTGAAGCCTGTCGCCCTGCCCGCTTCTGCTGCGGCCTGGGTGCGCCTTCCTCCGCGGGCGGCCGCAAGGGCGCCTGTGGCCCAGCCGCTGCTACCCCAGGGCCAGTGCGCACTCTCCAGATTCACAACCCCAAGACCCTGCGACCAAGGAGCAGGCTCCGGTGGGCTGCTGGGCCTGGAGGCGGCCACACTTATGCCCAGAGCGCCAGGATCTCCCAAGTCCCGCTCTCTGGGGCGGCGGGGTCTGCTCTGCTCCGGGCACAGCGCTTGGCCAAGCCGCTTTTGTTGGTTGCAGAGACAGGCCCTACCGGGACAGGCGCCCACGGCTGCGGACGGGCCTGCCGCTGCTCCCCTTCGCTTCCTTCCTCCAATGCACCATGAGGGTCCTGCTTTCCCTTCACAGGAGGCAGTCTCTGCTCACAGAGGAGCATGCAAGGGCGCTAGAGGCCTTTCAAGCCTGGTGGGGGCTGCCGTGCAGGCCCAGGAGGGAAGGCGGAACAGCAGACTCGGAGCAGAGAGCGCGCCTCCCTCCCTCCCCTCGCCCACCTTGGGAGGGTTGCAGAGGGCACGGCCTGCACCACGGTGGGGGCTGCCCTCCGTGCGCATGCCCTCACCAAGCGTGCAGGACCACTGTGAGGGCACTGGCGAGCTCAGGCGCAGGGTTGGTTAAACCCAGGCAGAGTGCCCAGTGTTCAGCTTCGCACCTGGATTGCCACATGCCTGGAGGGTTAGGGTTAGGGTTAGGGTCGGAGAGCCAAGGCACCTGGTGGCTCAGCCTTGGGGGGAAGGCAGAGGCGGCCAGGACAATCTGGGGGGCCAGGGTCGGTCTTTGGCCTCCTTCTGGCGCTGGGCAGACCTTAGGGGCTGGGCTGGGGGCTTCCAGGCAGAACCTGCCAGTTGTTGCCTTCCTGGGGCTCCCCAGCTGTGAGGACCACCATTCCCCAGCCACTCCGCATCCTTCCTACACCTGTCCCAGACGTGTCGCCCACCTCTGCCCCTGCACCTAGGGCCAGCCTGGGAACCCTCTGTAAGGACTGGCCCTGAACTCCGGGAGGGAGCTGGTGTGAGCAGTCCCCACAGCTGGCTGCCACCTGTTTGGTCTTCATAAACTTCCTCGGGAATGAATGTGGATCCTGTAAGCGCATGTCAGACTTGCTTCCTGCCCACCTCTCTCCAATCTCCGCCCCCAACCCACCTGCTCACAGGTGCGCATGTGCAGATGCGTGCACGCTCGCCCCTCCTGCTCATCTTCCACAGGACCTGCCTCCCGAGGACCCCGCCCTTCTATGAGGTGGTGCCACCTGCCTGAGCATCGGCGATTGCTGACACCCAAGGCAAGGCAACACAACGGAGGTGTCCCCTCGCCAGGCGCTGGCTGGCTGTTTCGGGCATGATGGGGAGGAACAAGTGCCCACAGGTTACAGGACTCTACACGGCAGCTGGCAGCGCCCGAGGGTGCAGAAGCCCCACACCCCAGCCCTGCTGGGTGTGCAGGGGAGGGGTCTCTGCTAGAGACCGCAGCCTTGGCTGTACTCCTTCCACGCTGCCTCGGCTCCCGCGGGCCCTTGTCCCGTGCCCATGACTGACGGGCAGGCAGCACAGGACGCCTGACCAGGCATGACTCATGTTGGCACAACCAAGTCCCTGTGAGATCACTGGGCCCTTGCAGATCCCATTCTTCTGGGTCAGTGGCACCCAGGCCCACCTGCCCACCTGCACCAGCACTCCGCTCTGGGGAACCTGTGGTCCCAGGCAGCGATGGGGCGGGAAGGGGTTAGGAGAGCCCAGTGTGTAGGGGAAGGAGGGACTGCCCTGGAAGCCAGGCCTATTTTTATTGAAAAGTTTATCTTCCACCCCAGTGGCTCACCCTCCAAGTGGCCTCAATGGCCAGAACTGAGCTGATCCAAAGCCAGGAGCCAGGAACTCTCCAGGGTCTCCCGTGTGGGTGCAGGGTTCCAAGGCTTTGGGCCGTCCTCCACTGCTTTCCCAGGCCACAAGCAGGGAGCTGGATGGGAAGTGGGGCTGCTGGGATCAGAACCGGTGATCATATGGGATCCTGGCAGAGGACTTCAGCCACTAGCCTTCTGAACTGCCCCCCCACACCCTTTTTAAGTTTGAGAGGCAGGGTGGCAGGGAAGGAGAGGGAGAGAAGGGAGAGAGGGGATCTTCCAGGCCCAGTGTGATGCTGGCACTCCACTGCAAGTCCCCGGCCATCCAGGGACCTGCGGCACCATGCGCCCCGCCAGGGCCCAGGGCAGAGCAGGACGGCTACTCTCTTTCCTTGTGAAACTCATGCTCTGGGGTCCAGTGCGGTAGCCTGGTAGCTGAAGCCCTCACCTTGCACCCGCCAGGTTCCCATATGGGCACAGGTTCTAATGCAAGCCGCTCCACTTCCCATCCAGCTCCCTGCCTGTGGCATGAGAAGGCAGTGGAGGATGGCCCAAAGTCTTGGGACCCTGCACCCACGTGGGAGAGTCTCAGGGCTCAGCTCCAGCCCCGTGTGGCTCAGCAGGAGGGGTGGGGAGCCCCGCAGCCCCGCTCCCCCTCCCACCCCTCGGAACGACGCCCTGAGAAGGGTCTGCAGCAGCCCGGGAGATGCCCAGCGGGGCGACAGGGCGGGGGCTGCGCTGCCTGCCAGGGCTTGGCGTCACTCCTCGCGGGCGCGGCGCTCCGGCCTGGGGAGCCTCGGTTCCCCGCTCGCCAGGGCCGCACCAACGGCTAGACCGGAAAACTTTCCAACTACGAGGCGCCCCCGACCCGGAGACCGCCAGCACCTGGCCCAGGACCCGCCCCACGCCGGGTCGCTGCCGCCGCAGGGAGCCCTGGCTGGGACCCCGCGAGGCCGCCGGCTTCTCCGGACCATGGGGCGTCCTCGAGAAACCGCGGACCCCCGGACAGAGAGCTCGGACGCGGGCCGCCTTCTCTGCCCGTCTCCTCTGGACCCGCACCCGTCCCGACCCCGCTAAGGAGCGCCGGCGGGTACCCGAGCCTGGCACCTGGCAGGAGTGTCAGCCTGCGCGCACGCGCGCGAACCTAACCGGGGTGATGGGGTTACAGCACCAGGAGAAACCAAGGTCATCACCCCTAACCCCAGCCCCCAGAGCCGTAGAGAAGTTTCTGGAACCCACAGCTGCCCGCCAGGAAACCCCCATCGGTCAGGAGGCTTCCCTGAGGGACTAACAGTGTGCGCCCGGAGCCAGCAGCCTGGGGAGAGCAAGGACCGGCCACTGCGCGACCCCCAAGTGGGCGAGACACGCCGGCCTGGGCAGACCCTGGACATCCGTGTGGGCAGAGGGAGGCCTGAGTGGGGCCCTGCACTTCCTGGGCGGCTGCTTCCTGGGCCAGTGGACAGACAGCCAGACCAACAGCACCATGCTGGACCCCCTTCTGTGGCTCAGGGTCAACGTGGGCTGGGTACCCGCCTTACCCTCCCACACCTGCTGGTCCAAGGAATGGCTCCGGCTTGATGGGAGACGCCCAACCAGGCTGCCCAGGCCTCACCCCCTCTGCCAGCTGGGACGGGGCACAGGCTGAGCACCCACATGGCATGGTCCACAGACTCATGCATGCAAAAACATGCATTCATCTGTGCACACGCGTGTGTAGTGCCACACACACGCGTACATGAACAAACTGCAGTCACATGTACACACATGCACGTGCCAACATGAATTCAGTGTGCACATGTGAACACACGGCTCACACCCACACGTGTATGCTTGTGTACACGTATGTACACACATGTGTGCTCATGGGTACCCATCCACAGGAGTGATACACACATGTATATCCACACGAGTAACTTACATAAACACACGTGCAAACACACCATGTAGGTCAGTACTGCACACACACCCCTCACCCACACACACACCAATCACTCCACACAGCCTTCACCGACACACACACACCCCTCACCCACACACACCCCTCACCCACACACCCCTCACTCCACACCCAT